CTTCTATGCAGAGTGTGATTATAATTATTCACCAAATCTGATAACACATCTATGTACTTGTTCGTGTTATTGTGTGAGATGTATCTAGTCATTAGTGATCTCATTGTGCGAATAACTCTCTCTGCATAATTAGCTTTCATGTCTTCATTTTGAGCAAATATCAATTTAATAGCTTTCTCTTTTACATAATCTTTGAAAACACCCTCGAACTCCTTACCTTTGTCTACCCTAATCTTTTTTGGCAGTCACCCCTCTTTCGAGATAATTTTAAAACCCTCTACTACTGACACAGGCTTTTTGTTCATTAGGGGAACTACCCACAGATATCGAGACAATGTGTATATCACTATCAGTAAATAACGAACCCCATTGTTTGCGCTTGAATAGAGACTGACATCGGCTTAATCAATATCCCACATTTTGTCTAACTTATTCACGCGTACACGCAGTCTGGGAAAACGGCGTTTCACTGGTTTGTGCAGAGTATAAGCATCATTTCGTTCGAGAAATTCTTTCACTTCCTGCAAATTGTAATTCTCACCTCCCTTTTTCAAAGAAGACAGAAATTTTGATTGACCATAATATGCACCACTCTTTTTGGGGTTAAAATAATAATCTTCCAACATTTTTATACCCCCGTCCGAAAACTTTGTCCGCGCGATTTCTCTTAAACTATTCAGTGGATTCATCTCAAACTTAGTACATATAATCTGTGTCATATGGAGGGGTGCAGTCAAAAGAAAAAAATTGTTTTTATTAATTTTCCATTTTTTTATTAATTTTTCAAACCCTAATGCCGTCCGAAAACTTTGTCTGCGCGATTTCTCTTAAACTATTCAGTGGATTCATCTCAAACTTAGTACATATAATCTGTGTCATATGGAGGGGTGCAGTCAAAAGAAAAAAATTGTTTTTATTAATTTTCCATTTTTTTATGAATTTTTCAAACCCTAACGTCCGTCTGAAAACTTTGTCCGCGTGATTTCTCTTAAACTATTCAGTGGATTCATCTCAAACTTAGTACATATAATCTGTGTCATATGGAGGGGTGCAGTCAAAAGGAAAAAATTGTTTTTATTAATTTTCAATTTTTTTAATGAATTATTCAAACCCTAACGTCCGTCTGAAAACTTTGTCCATGCGATTTATCTTAAACCTTTCAAGGCATTTATCCTAAACTTAGTACAAATAATCTGTGTCATATTGAGGGGTGCAGTCCAAAATAAAAAAATGTTTTTATTAATTTTCCATTTTATTAATGAATTATTCAAATCCTAACGTCCGTTCGAAATATTGGCCACGCGCTTTATCTTAAACTTTTCAAGGGATTCATCTTAAATTTAGTACATATAATCTGTGTCATATGAAGGGGTGCAGTCAAAAGAAAAAAATTGTTTTTATTAATTTTCCATTTTTTTAATGAATTTTTCAAACCCTAACCAGGGTTTCCCCTGACGCAGAATTCTTGCGTATATGACTCTCAATTAAGGAAAAAAATGTCCAGAAAGAAATGACTGCGTCATGACTGACACAATTTCAAAATATCTATGTTGTTGTTTGCCAGCTTTGGAATGAAAATATTACAACTACTCACCTGAACTTAATTTATAAACATTTTCTGAAGACAATATATGCAAACGTCTCAAAATTTACGTCTAGTTTTAAATTAATTGTCGTTTTTAGAAGTAACATACTTTGCATAACACCACTGCCACGGGCTAATTTGCATAGCCTGTCACATGACCAGACTTTTCTCTCGTTTTAAAACATACGCTCAAATCAGAACAGCCGGGGGCTTTACATATTGTTTTGCATAATTATATAGATATGCTACTAAAACTGTGCGACTGTGAGGTACACGACAAAATATATTTATTCATCAAAGTGAACGTAAGTCTCACACTCAGTGTGGCTTCGATGACAGCATGTGATGTAAACAAAGGAAAACTACACAAATGGACAAGGTTTTTCACGTTTCAGCATATTTTCTCACTAAGGTTTAACCATGACATATGTTTATCTAGATGTGTAGACTCGTAAAAAATGAAACAAAAGAAAATATTATCATTGTTGCGGTGAATAATGTGATTTGGCGCAGCCACAGTATGGAACCTATGGAACGGGGGTAAATGGAAGTTGTAAGTATCAGAGGGACACATGTTTTTGCCGAAATTTAGGTAAACATTATTGAATGAAATTTTAAATAAAATTAATAAAATAGATGACAAACATAGGTCAGATATACAGAGAACTCATTTTTATTACCAGATAGTGTAACAACAGGATCAACTTGGGTAATTCAATTCGGATTTGTTATGCTATTTCCGATGACAGATCATGACAGCCTGAAATGAGACTGAAGAAGAGTCTGTGCATATTATATTCGAGAGATTTTTTTCAGGATTTAATTGCCCATAATTAGGGGTGCGTATTATACACGAATAAATATGGTATATACGAAATGTAAAGCTTTGGGCGTGTTTGTTGTTGCTAATAAACTGTATTCAACCAGAAAATATTACGAGTGTTCACAATTCTTCAGTTCAACTTCACTGTTGATAGATAATACAATATAACTAGATAAAAGATGTAAATGAGTTAGTGGTATTAAATTATAATCTGACATGAAATGTATTTTAATATCCATCCATGATTAAAAATTATGTCTCACAGTTGAGACTGATGTTATTTATTCATCCTATATTAGTGTCACTGTAAATTGTTTCTTGAGCTGTGAAGTAATTAAAGATTGTGAAAAAATAAAACCAACAAACTTTGTTTTTCATTCATATATCCTTTATTTCTCTGTAGTACAATCAGCTGAGAACATTAATTAGCACTTGTTAACTTAAACTAAAGACATATAATATTTAAAAGATACTTAACTTTAAGTGTAACATTAACAGTGAACACTTTAAATTTCATTAATCATACAATAAAACATTTGACTCTCAAAAAATATTTTTGACTCCCAAAAATTCATAGGCTGAGTCAAGGTGACTCTCAGATATTGGATTCTAGGGGGAACCCTTCCTAACCCTATCCTAGCTATTTAATTTGTAACTACTGACACACTAGGTGGGTCAGGGGTATTAGTGAGCCACGCTCACTTTTGCACTTGTTTTTGAATGTTTTCTATTGCTAGACATGATTGCAAATGACAAAGACAACGTTGGATCTATGATTTTTATTTGACTAAATCTTGATTATGTCAGTTCAATCACATCGTGATTGCAAATACAGCAGTCTGACAATTTGCTTCTTCAATTTGTCTTTCCACTCTTCCGTCTTGAGTTGAGCATTCAGGAAGTCTTTACAATGATATTGACATCTTACAAAGTCACTCGTGTCTCTCATGCTCGGGTCTGTTTCAATAAGTTCACGCCATTGTGAAATCATGTGATCCTCATTCAGCTGCTGCCAGGCAATGTCAATATATCGCGTTACCATTTCTTCTTTTGTTAAAGTGTTACAGGTATGTGGTGTTTCGACGTTATCAAACAAACATCCTATACATAATTCAGCTGTCAAGTGTTTGACGTGTTTGACGAGATGCATAGCATAACATAGAGTTAACATGTTTTCAAGACTACTATTTCGAGTTTCCACATCAATTTCGTCAACCGTGACGGGGAAAATCTTCCGCACAATTACCTGTTTAGTGCTTCCAGTAGGGTCAGTAAACGAACTCTTTGCATCCCTGACGCATGTATCTCTGTCTTTAAACCATTCAGTGGAGCGATGAACAACTGTTTCGGCTAAACCTGTCGTTGCGCAGATGACATACTTCCAGGTAAAAAAAAACAGAAAAAAAGATTCACATTTTTAACCACGTTAATTTTGCGTATCATACACTCTCTGAATTTAGCTTACCTAACATTTTTTTCCACAATTTCTAAACTGACTGTCCCAACACAATCTGATAGCTATACACGTTTTTGTTGTTGTTATGTTGGTGTTTTTTTCGGATAGAAAATGTGGACTGAGTGGAGAGCCATTCGATTAGAAATACATACATGTTATCGATAGTTCGCGTTCGCATAGTTAAAGAAGGTAAATATTCACAGGTTATGAAGTCGGGAGAATTCCAGTCTGCTCCAAACAATTTCAAAAATGCAAATGACGACTCAGCTTGATGAATGCGATTATATACTATTTGTCATGTTTATTAACAAATAAAAGGTACACATTCCAGACAGTCTACAACATTTCATAAAAGACCAGACAACATTCCAGACATGCCAATACCCATTCTCAACATTCCATAACAGAACAGGCGTGCCATACCATTCAAGACATTCCGAAACATTCCAGATATTCCATAACAGACCACATGTGCCATACCATTCCCCACATTCCAGACATTCCTAAAGGGAGGTTTTGGGCATTGTTCTCACCATTCACTACTTTCTTTTCTACTACCATGATAATGATGAGTGTGCCTTTGCTTATCGCTTTGCTGACCCATTAACTGAAGCAGAGGTCCAGAAAAAATTAGAAACATGCATACCCAAATCTACAAAGTATAAAAATGACAGGGCGAAAAGTGTGTTTAAAAGGTGGCAAGAAGAGCGTAGGCAACGTTCTCTCGATGATGATATCGCCATTTCGCTGTCGGTATTGAAAGATGATCTGTTGGAAATGGACTCTGAAGATCTTAATACTGCTATGAAATACTTTGTGTTTGAAGCGAGAAAAGTTGATGGTACGTCCTATCCAGCTATAACGGTGTAGGGCCTTTTCACAGCAATAGCCTCAGCTCTCAAACTTAACGGATCACCTTTCAATCTTATGGATGATGAGGACTTCAACGAATGTAGAAAAGGTCTAGACGCATGCATGAGAGAAAGATGTGCAAGTGGTTTCAGTGCAGACTGTCGGAAACCAACAGAGGTGATATCCAGAGCCGAGTAGAATACTCTCTGGGAATAGGGAGCATTGGGCGAAGATAATCCACAACAACTACTCGACAACATGCTTTATCTTACTGGTGAGTACATTTTCGTGCTATACACCATATTGAAAACACTATGATTTAACTTTCTTTGAATAGATTCGCCTAATAAATTGTAACCCTTTAGCAAATAAGTTTGTCATTTAGTTCATTATAATACAATAATATTGCATGACATGTTACTTGCGCATTTTCTGCAACAGACTAAAATGATATTTCTGTTTTACTAGGACTAAACTTTGCATTGCGTGGTGGGAAGGAACACCGCAGTCTGAGACTACACCAGAATCCACAGATTACAGGACCACATACTGACCAGAACGGGCGCTGATATTTGCAGTACACAGAGGATGTTTCTAAAACCAATCCAGGAGGGATCAAACATCGTAAAATGCAAAAGAAAAATGTCCGTGCCTATGAAAATGTCGAACACCCAGAAAGATGCTACCTTCGACTGATTGAAAAATACAAGTCTCTTTGGTAAGTTTTCGATTTCTGCCAATTTATCATATTTGCTCATAACCACAGTATTAAGAAGTATGTGTAGCCTATTTGTGAATAATCAGAAAATGCATGTGACTATAATTGAAAACACCAGTATAAAACGTAAAGAGATCATCTAATATAATTCTAGATTCATTAATCATTCCCAGATCTACCACTTTCATGTTGACACTATGTGCAGAACTACATGTATCGATGTATATTTCAGTCCACCTTCTTCAACACGAGCAAACACTTTCTACTTCACTCCCTTGAAGAAGACGAAGGACAGAAAATGGTATCTTGAATCGCCCATGGGACACAATACCATACAGACAACAGTGAAGCGGATCTGTACTATGGCCGGAATTACAGGGAAGAAAACCAATCATTCACTCCGGTCAACTGCTGCCGACCGGCTGTACGAAGCTAACATCAGTGAGCAGCAGATATGTGAACAAACAGGTATGTAGTGGAAGATAAATGGTATGCATGTCGGATAAAACCATTATCCAGTCTATGCTGTATGAAATAGTATGGTAATGCTAACTGATTATAAGAAATCAATGTCTAATTATGACATGAATCTTAATTCTGAGAAGTATGAAATAATAAAATTACTGATTATATTTTATCGCTGTCAAAAGTTTAAATACCGATACGATGACACTTCCATCTTCATTTGAATTAAATTTAAATTTGCTCTTGAACAAATTTATACCGAAATATATGAAACTGAAATTTTCACTTCCGGGGCACAGGAGTGATGCAGTGAGGGTCTACAAACGGACGAGTGATGAACAAAAGGCAATGGCTTCAGATGTGTTGGCTTGCAAAGTTCCAAAGAGCAAAGAAAATTCCAAGAAGAACGTCGCATCGACTGTGTCTGTCCCACCTTCTGAACCAGAGTCAAGCATAACGGAAAGTCGCGGAAATGTCACAATGACCTTTAATTTTCATTAAAGAAATCTGATAAATAGTTTGCCTTTTTTTTTTGTGATCTGCAAAGACTTTCAAGCCTACTTGGGTGTTTTGGGACAAGGGTTCATTCTCGTTAAAACCTGGGAAAGAGTTTTACTGAACTCCAGTAAAACCTCTTCCCAGGTTTTACTCTGGGAGTAAAACCTCGTTCCTGGTATTGGTGCCTGTAGAATGGACAATGAGTTACAACGGCAGTTATCAAAATTAGGTTTATAAGAGTCAACCTTTACCCATGGGTGGTTTTGAGTGGATCGATGTGAATGATATCGATGTGATATCGATCCCCACTGATTCCAATAAAGGATACATACTAGAAGTTGACTTGGAATATCCAACAGAGTTACACAAAGATCATAACAGTTATCCGCTAGCTCCCGAAAGATTGATGAGCAATACTAGGTTAGCTAACATAGAAAAACTCGTACCAAATTTGATGGATAAGACAAAATATATAGTTCACTATAGAAATCTCCAGTTATATCTATCATTAGGCATGAAACTAAAGAAAATACACAGAGTTCTTAAGTTTGATCAAAGCCCTTGGATGAAGCCCTATATAAGACTGAACACAGATTTAAGAAAGATGGCTACCAGAGATTTCGAAAAGAACCTATATAAGCTCATGAATAACTCAGTATTTGGTAAAACTATGGAGAATCTAAGGAAGCTTGTTGATGTTAAATTGGTCAGATCTAATGAGGAAGAAAGACTCCGGAAACTTATATAGCCAGTCCGGCTTTTAACAGAAGCAAGATATTTGATAACGACTTAGCCACACTACATATGCAGAAAAGTAATATAAAATTCAACAGACCGGTGTACGTTGGTATGAGTATTCTTGACTTGTCAAAACACTTAATGTATGACTTTTATTACAACAAACTTAAGAAGCAGTACGGTAATAGGTGTGAGGTGTTATATACTGACACAGATTCTTTATTGATGGAAATACCAACCGAGGATGTGTATAAAGATATGGCAGAAAAAATAGATATGTACAATATGAGTGATTACCCAAAAGATAATCCACTGCACAGCGTAGTAAATAAAAAGGTGTTTGGTAAGATGAAGGATGAATGTGCTGGGACTCCTATAGCGGCGTATGTCGGATTAAGACCTAAGATGTATTCTGTAAAGAAGTCCGATAATGGAGAGATAAGAAAAGCTAAGGGTGTTAACAAGTATGTGGTAAAAAAGCATATCAAACACGAACAGTATAAAGAAGCATTATTCAATGGTAGAACATTCAAACACGAGATGAACGCTTTAAGAAGTGTCAATCACAGGATATATGGATTAAGAATGATCAAGACATCATGATGTAACTACCTATGCTTATGGTTATGGTGGTAATACTGTATCGTTGGGAACTATGAGCAACGCTTCTCGTACAAATGCCCTGCCCGGTCGATCTTTAAGATACATGTAATAAAGAATAGGCTCTCCTTTCATAACCAACCGACTAATGTTATATATCTTAAGGGACCAAATCGGATCGGTTGCACAATGTTGGCCTCCTTCGAGTTCACCGGGCTGGTATAAATATCTTACGCTTACTCTATCCGGAGGTTTGTGTTCTTTGCCTCTCCTCGGTGCTGAAGATTCGGAAGTCACAGATTTAATTTTAATCGCATTGGATGGTTTCTTCCCGATTAATCTTGTTACTTCATTATTTAGTGCTGATACAACAACTGATAATCGTGTCACCCATTCAGTTGATCTTCTTTCAATCCCATACTGATATCCAAACAAACGTTCGGCTAATGTCCAGTTAAGTCTTTCAAACGATAGCTTGACTATCAAACTTCTTCCTCGGGATATAATGCGGTGCTAGTAAGTATATTTGCCACATCGCTTGTTTCTTTAACCAATCTTTGGCCACATCTTTAGGTACCTTAGCCAAGGTGGCTAATTTTTGTATTGCTCCTATACCTTTCCAATATCCCTGTGGGCTATAGTAAATTTTATCCATTATTAATTAATATTGATGCTTCTTTTAATACGAATCATGACAATCGTTGAATCGCATCATCATTTTTCCATAAAAAATTCTCTCTGTAGTAGTGGTATAGGTATATAAATCTGGCTCCAGTGGAAGTGGTCCAGAACTGTCATTGTCTATAAAAAATTATATCATAGAAGCATTGATTGGCTTCAGGTGGTAGTGAGCTAGAGTCAATTTAGCTTAATCTCATGACGATCATTGAATCATATCATCATTTTGACATAAAAAATTCCCTCTGTAGTAGCAGTATAGGAATATAAATCTGGCTCTGGTGGAAGTGGTCCAGAACTGTCATTGTCTATACTACTGATTGATCTCCCACCTGATATGCAAACTTGTAGGCCTGGTCAAACCTTTCTTTCGAAGACTTTGTATACTGCAAGGTTGTTCTTGGCTTGCTTGGCTGTATGTCAAGACCAAAAAAAACATCAACTAGAAGCCTTGGGTCTTCGCCAAACATTAGGTAAAAAGGCGAGTACCCAGTGGACTCATGCCTTGTGCTGTAAGCGTGCACTAATGGCCCAACACATGTCTTCCAGTCTTCAGAATCTCACGTACGGAGCATGTTATACAAAGTCTTATTGAATCGTTCACATATCCCATTACCCATAGGGTGGTATGGGGTAGTGGAGGATTTCTCAGTGCGCAAAAGTTGGCACAACTCAGTCATGAGGTTTCCTACAAAGTTAGCACCCTTGTCAGAATGTATTCTCTGTGGAAGCCTGTAATGTTGTTGAAGAATAGTTCAGCTGTTGTTCTTGCTGAGGTATTCCGACATGAATAGGCCTGCACATACCTGGTAAAGTCTTCGGTGAGCACTAACACCATGCATATAAGCTCTAGGGTCTGTGTGGTCACGATGTTTATTAGTTGTGCTTAGTCAGTGGTCGCTTTCCTCTTTAAGCATCTGTCACAGGCTCGCAGTGCAGCAAGTCTGCATCTTGAAGGCAAAACTAGCTGTTCCTGAGTACCATCTGCTGTCACAGTAACTTTGTAGAGAACACCCTCAAGAAGCTTGTAATGATCATAGTTCTTGAGCAGACAAGTCATAACAGGTACATCTTGCAGTCCAATCTCTGTCCTGATTCAGGAGAATCAATAATGTCTAACAAGTCTGGGTCTCTACGCTGAATCTTACTCCACTCCCTGGCTTGGTTCGGCATTGTTCCTCAACAACAGAAACATCATCCTGCGACATGCTATCAGCAGACAAACAGATAGTCTCTACGAAGTTGGATACCTGCACTTTTCCACAGATGGCGTAAACAACTTCACTACTGACTTCCTCGCAAACTGGCAATCTTATCAAGGAGTCTGCATCCGCATTAGACTTCCAAGGTTGGTATTTATTGGTGAAGTTGTACGTGGATAAAGCAGCCAGCCACCTATGTCCTGTGGCATCAAACTGTGCAGTAGTTAACACATGCATAAGTGGGTTGTTGTCTGTAAAGACTAAAAACTTGTGTCCATATAAATAGTCATGGAACTTTTTGGTCACACTCAACTTGAGGCACAAAAATTCCAATTTATGAGCTGAATAGTTCCGTTCTGAGCGTGTGAGTTCTCTACTGGCATAGGCTATAACTCCAGATACCCCATCCTGCTCCTGGTATATCATAACTCCTCATCCCTCAGCACTCGCATCTGTGTGGAGCTCGAAGGGCTTAGAAAAGTCTAGATATCCTAGAACTGGAGGACTTGATAGACAGGACTTCAACATGTCAAAAGAATCCTGCTGTGCTTCTCCCCAGTGCCAGTCAATTGGAGGTACATGCTTCCGTGACTTGGTGTGGAGGGCATCAAGGCCCAACAAAGGACATGCAATCCTTGAAAAGTTCTCTACAAATATCCTGTAATACCCTGCGAAACCCAGGAAACGAGGAACATCCTCAGGGTTCTTGGGGAACAGGCCAGTTCTTGATCTTGTCGATCTTCTCTGGGTCTGCTTCAGTTCCCTCAGCTGACACTTTATATCCCACATACCTGACCTTCTTTTTGAAAAACTTGCATTTCTTAGGAGCAAGTTTGAGGCCACACTTCTTGAGACACTGCAAGACTAGTCTGAGGTGTTCTACATGCTCCTAAAAGGTCTTGGAGAATATATAATTAGGTCATCCAGGTAGATGAGACAAATACGGAGATGAAGACCCTCCAAACACTGCTCCATGAGGCGCTGATAGGTGGCGGGCTCATTGGACAGACCGAAAGGCATTCGGTTATACTCGTAAAACCCAAGTGAGCCTATGGTAAATGCTGTGCGCTGTTTATGTGCTTCCTTAAGCTCCACCTGGTGGTATCCACTTTTCATGTCCAGCACTGAGTAAAATCTCATCCCACTAAGGCTGCCAAGAAGCTCCACTATACGGGGTAAGGCATAACTGTCCTATATTGCCCTCTGATTTAACTGATGGTTATCAACACAAAGTCGAAAACGACCATCCTTGCGCTTAACCAGAACAATGTTGGATGCCCAAGGGCTGTGCAAGGGCCTTATCACTCTAGCAGACAAAAGGTCATTCAAGTGTTGCTTCACATCAACAAACATTCCAGGAGGAATACAACAATGTCGTTGTTTGAAAGGTGTGTCGTTTACGAGGTCTATCCTATGTCGGACAAGTGACGAGTGACCAATATCATCTTCACTTTTGGAGAATATATTACTGAAGTGCTGAATAACTCCGAGTCCTTGATCTATCTCATCTTCAGTAAGTCCATCACAGTCAAACTCTATCAGGTCAAGCAAAGTAACAGGATCTGAAGGCATAGTGGGTGTCATTCCTTCTATGGAGATGGGCTGAAGCTCACATAAAAGATCCTTGGGACATACAACAGCTGTCTGAGTGGTTACATTTGACACAAGTACATCAATGTCATATGGCTTGGTGTGGTCATAGGTCAATAGAGTAGGTGCAACATCAAGATCCCTAGGTAAAACTGAGTCTTGAGTAACTTGTCAAGGGCACATACTTGACAGTTTGATACGCTATGGCATAGTTGTCCCTTAATACTGACATGAGAGTTGGGAGGAATCATCACACTGCTTGTCTCTGCTTACTTGCTTACTTCAAGTAGCCAAGTACTCCTCCATTCTTTGATAGTTCCTTACCTCGAACAACCATACTCTGAAATGTCAAATACCAAGGAGTAAACAGGTTAGCACATTGAAGAAAACAAACACCATAAGCAGACTTACACTCACCCAATAGGTATTGTGATGTACCTAGTAAAACAAGAAACAACTCAGAAGTGACACTATCACCAAGACCACAACCACCGGAACTGACTCCAACGTCAACAAAACCCCTGAAAGGCAAAGAATCACCACCAGCATGTTCAATATTCATCATGCAACCCAAAGGCTCAATTGGTAAATGATTCAAGAAGGAATCATATAAAGACTGCGACACAAAGGACACTGTCGCTCCAGTATCAAGTAGAGCTCTGGTTGTGTACACCCTCAACCTGTAGCTCAACCTCATCAGCATGACCCAGAAGCTTGTCCATGACATGTCTTCCTCTGGGGCGTAGAAGTGCCCCCTGCCCATTGGCCTGTTGGAGTTTAAAGGTCTCCGGCAATGATCCTGTCAGACACGACAACCAAATGAAAGATGACAGTATAACCACAATTCCAACAAACAGGGAGCGGTCGTTGCTGTGTACTCTCTTGGGATGGAGGAATATCTGATCCAGAAGCACTCTCAGACTGATTCACTGACGCTGATGTGTCTTAAGCGGAACCATAACAACCTCGATATCCTGATCTACCACGACCTCTAGGCCTAACATTTGGTTGACCTGACCTGACCTGACCTGATTATCCTGTATGCCAGTAATCTCCGACTTCATTTGTTTCAAAGTATCTTTAAGTTCAGAAAAGTGGTCAGGCTCTGCTGTATTCTTTTCTTTTTATGTTGAGGAACAGTCCCATGATGCAAGTCAAACTCCAACTCTCATAGGCATAGGTGAAGGTCATCAAGATTCTTGATAGACTCATATTTGTAGCCTGCTAGTCCCTTAAGTGTAGGATTCAAGCCATCCCACAACCTTGACCTCAACATCTCATCTTGGTCTACATGGGATATAGACTTCTGACAAACCAACTGGTAGAGTAATATCTCTCAAGACGACAGCTCCAAGCAGTGACATCTTCACCATCCTTCTGAGTGGCACTGTAAAACTCGGACATGAGTACAGAACATCTCCGAAGTGTCCCAAATGTACTCTTCAGCTTGGATAGGATGTCTGTAATTGAAGCTTTGTGACGTCATTAATTACAACTGTGACATCATAATGTATTTGACCGCCTTCGTGGTCTTGTGGTAGAGCGTCCGCCCAGAGAGCGGAAGGTCCGGGGTTCGATCCCCGGCCACGTCATACCAAAAGACATTAAAAGATGGTACTTGTTGTTACCCTGTCTGGCGCTCGGCTTTAAGGGGCTAAAACAAGGACTGGTCAGCTCGGAGTCAGTATACTGTGTCTGAGTGGGGTATTCATGTTCAACTGCGCATGGTATCTCAGGGAGCTAGCACTATAAATCGGCATCAGTCCGGACTAGTACAAGCAGCCACACAAACACACACACGTACATGCACGTCGCTATATAAGTGCAATAATCTTGGACGCGACGTTAAACCCAATTTCACCTAACCTCATAATGTATTTACACACTCCAGCGACTCATGATTTAACAATGGCAGATCTTTTTGTTCCAAAGGGCAATAACTCTCCTTTTGAAATGATATAAGCGAAGGTCCAACCAGTCGCTTCCGGCCTGGTTTTCGGATCTATGCGCGCTGCGACAACTAGTAACCTTGGCCTAGATCTTCAAAACGATCGTAGCCCAGAAATTATCGTAAAGTTATCGTAAGGAAATCTTAGGCTATGGTAGCCTATTTTCAAAACTATCGCAGCCCTGAGATATCTTAAGTTTGTCGTAAATCTAAGATAGCCCCACACCTGTCGTAAGTTTATTTTATCTTCATCCAAGATGGCGGCATACTTTGCCATAGATATTTTGCCAAATACTCAGTCTGCTTTACGTTCAAACATTGACATTTCAATTTGTTAAACTGTTTGATTCAAATTGACACTTTGAAAACACGAAGAACGCATCAATGATTAATGTTCTTAATCGCGACAGCGATCCACATAACTGTGGAGTCGATAGCTTAAAATATATTTCTATCCAAGTCCATGCTGAAGAAGTTTGAAACAACGTACCATTTTGATAATTTGGGAAGGATAAAAAAGGAAGGTGTCGGCAGGTTATAGTAATGACCATGACCTTATTGATAATTAACTCAGGGGGAGCTAATCTTCGCTCATACTTTTGTTGAGAGTGGTTTCCCTTTGTATTGGCCAAGGACGCCTTGCTCAATGTTACAGTTTTCATCAAGTCAAAACATGTTGTAACGGAAATTTACAGAACTGATTATCCTAGCAACGACCGGAACAGGACAGTACCTCGTTTCATACGGGTGTTTTTGCATCCGGGCCTTCTGGAAAGGTTGACTTAAGGCCGTACGTGCCTCACGAGCTTTAGTGAGCGTCTGGCTCCGAGGGCAAGCTTGCTGGGATCTGTCTGTACACACACGTATTTTCGGTATGGTGAGGTAATTGTATTAGTTTTTGCCCAGTCACACCATTTTAGTCTAGGTTATCATGTTTATCATAATGATATAGCGTGTGTTTTACGGTGACATTTTCTGCTAGAATCTATGTGCTAGTGTTATTCTGAGATTTTCCAAGTCTTTGAACCCGGTGGGTCAACCGAGTGATGTGTCAGATATATTTGAAGACTATGATTATGAAATTGTTTAACCCTCTCGCCCGACTGCCCGATTTATCGGGCAGCATAAACCCTGTCCCAGTACCCGGCTGCCTGAAAAATTGGGTGGCTACTGTCCAAGCCCCACACACGGCTGCCCGATAAATCGGGCGGGACGACCGTGTTTACAAAATCGCTCTATCTACTTCCTTTCTCGTGTGTAATCTCGTTCTAAACATGGAAACGAGATCTTCATGTAATGACACGTCATTCGATGGAATTTCCCAGTCTTTTTGGCGCGAAAATCGCAAATGTCACCTGTTTTCGCGACAGGTATTTTTCTCGCTTGAATCGTAAATCTAGCGTAATGGCGGCCAACTACGATTCGGATAGTGATCAGATGACTAACAACGACTCTATTGGGAATAATAATGTGTTTGATTTGAATAATTTACGCGAAGGGGAGAGGGAATTTCGCGAATATTTTCGTGAAGATTTTGACGGTTTCGACGAGGTGTCCCCCCCCCCCCCCCACCAACTTTCAAAAATAGAAGTGGCAGAGGGACCACAACGGTGGAGACATGAGGGATTTTGAAGAGGCGACCGGACTCAAGAATATATATTGACACGGTGAGTGAAGTATCGTGCTATTGATTTTTTCCAACTGTTTTACAATGATTCTGTGTTTGAACAGATTAACAGTGCAACGAATGAGAATGCAGCCTACACGTGAACGAGCGATCACAACAACAACAAAGGTGAGTGGCATGACGTATCTCTTTCTTTTTTTTTAAATTTAATTTTCTGATCGCAATCCGAATTGTAGTTTGCCGGTTTGTCCTATGTCCTTATATTTCGCTCAATTTGAATAAAATTTACTTCCTTATTCATGTTTGTTTTCTTGTTTTTTACATCTTAATTTAAATTTTCGTAATTGTAATAATTATTTATTTATTAATTGATGTAATAAAGTACTGATTTAATTTATTATGCAATTGTAAATAGCAGTGTATTGTAAATTGTTATCACAACTTGTATATTTGCAGAACTTGAATTTACAATCTTTCCGTCCTTTTACAATCTTTCCCTCCTTTCAGATCAATCTGTGATATCTTCTCTGTGATGTCATTCTTATAGTAGCTGTGGTTTAATGTTAAGGTAATGTGATAAATTACTATTTAAAAACTTAAATACTTAATTTTTGTTTCAAATCCTGAAAAAGAACAAAATAAATCAAATACTTGTGTTTTTACCTGTGTTAACGAGTTTACCTGCGTTAACAAGTTTACCTAAGAGGCTGTAAGTGTATCATAAGTAATATGTGACATCAGTATAGAAAATAAAGTCAGTACCAAGAGTTGTAAACTTGTTTATTTGTTTACAGATGTGCATGAAGAGAATTTACCTGTAACACCTGGGATAACCTGTGCCGTCCAAGATGACAAGACCACTGTGTTATGTTTACCTTGTATCTGTGATTTATTTTTTGATTTGTAATACAATTTGAGCCAAAATTCATTGTCTGTTTTCATTTTTTCAGTGTTTTCAAGTTTTATTTCACTTGTAAACACCTGTAATTAGAAAATAACAAAGGTTAGAGACAATAACAACAAAGAATATTAAAGTATACTTAATCCTCTTTACAATGGTATATGATAGATGTATATTAAAAGCAAGCTTCTGGTAGAAAAAGTGCATCAAAAATGATAGTGTGATTTTCCAATAATACTGCCAGGGAGGCCAGTGTACAGGCCTTGTCAGTGTCAGGGACTGCAGGGTCTCAAGGGACATAACTCTGGGGCAGCCAGTGATGAAAGAGTTAAAGAGGTTGACTGAAAAGCGAGTAAAATTCGAATGGTCTGAGGCTTGTCAGAGTGCTTTTGAATTGTTGAAAAGTTTGTTGGTTTCTGCTCCCATTTTGGCATATCCTGATTTTGAGAAACCTTTCATTTTAGACACTGATGCCAGTGGAGTTGGTCTGGGTTTTGTGTTAAGTCTTTAAGAAAAGGAAGGGAAAGAACGTATCATAGCATATGGGAGTCGAACTTTGTTTAGACCTGAACGAAATTATTGTGTCACCAGGAGAGAATTGTTAGCCGTTGTGACAGGTGTGACTTATTTCAAACATTTTCTTATGGGCAGGAAGTTTCTTATCAGGACCGATCATGGCTCATTAACCTGGTTAATGAGGTTTAAGGAACCCCAGGGACAAGTAGCTCGGTGGTTAGAGGTTTTATCTGAGTATGATTTTGAGATCAAACATAGACCTGGAGAGAAGCATGGAAATGCTGATGCATTGTCCCGCACACCTTGTCGACAGTGCAATAGAGTTGAAATTCTAGCAATGTCCGTTCAATTTCTGTTAGAACAAGCACAACGAGGTGATTTGAGTAGCTTATATACGGCCGTGGATCAACAAGATAAGTCCCTAGTACAAAGCCCGTTTACAAAATTTGTCAGTGTATTAATGCAGCAATGGGATTCCTTAGCAATTGTGGAAGGGGTTTTGATGAGGAAGTTGGATGGCTCTAATGTTAACCAGAGTGTGGTTCCACCTAGTATGGTTAAGGAGATTTTGCACGGATTTCATGAGGCTGTAGCTGGAGGCGGACATCTAGGTATAAAAAAAAGTCTGTCGAAGGTCAAGGTCCGTTATTATTGGCCTGGTTGGCGTAAAGATGTAGAGGTTTGGGTAAAATCATGCCCGGGTTGTGCAAAGAGAAAGTCCCCAATCCCTCGTGGTAAGGCCAGGTTGCATGGGTTTACGGCAGGTTATCCTTTTCAGAGAGTGGCAATGGATATTTCAGGGCCCTGGCCTGTGACTACTAATGGAAATAGGTATATTTTGGTGGTACAGGACTATTTTACCAAGTGGGTGGAAGCTTATGCCATCCCCAGTCAGGAGGCGGAAATGGTTGCCAAGAAGTTTGTGGATGAATTTGTATGTCGATTTGGTATGCCAGTCTCGTTACACTCTGATCAAGGCGCAAATTTTTGTCTAAGGTTTTTCAGTCTGTTTGTGCAGAATTGGGCATTAAGAAGACCAGGACCACGCTGTACCATCCTATGACTAGTATGAGTGATGGGTTGGTAGAGAGATTCAATAGGACTTTGTCTGGTATGTTAAGCCAATATGTTCAGGACTCTCAGAGGGATTGGGATGGACATCTTCCCAAAGTGCTTATGTCTTTCAGATGTGCGGAACAGGAATCCACAGGGTTTTCACCTAACTATCTGGTTTTTGGTCGGGAACTGGACAGGAGTCAGTTGAGTTACCTCGTTATGTGAGACACATGAAACAGGGTTTTGAGGATGCTTTTAGGGTAGTAGAGGAAAATTTGGAAGCCAGTCACAAAAAACAAAAGATACAGTATGACAGACATACCACCCAAGGTGACCTACAAGTTGGCGATATGGTTTGGTTGCATTACCCTAGAGTCAAACGAGGCAGATCTCGTAAGTTGACCCGGCCTTGGGTAGGGCCTTTAGAGGTTACTAAAAAGATAAATCCTGTTGTTGTACGAGTGAAGGGTAAGATCAATGGACGTTATAGGCGAGAAGTGGTACATGTGAACCGGTTGAAGAAACTAGCGTTGGATACTAGGGTAGAGGAGGTTTTGGCTAGCACTAGTGGTTCTGAGCCAGAGGATGGTGGGGGTACCCCTGTGGTAAATACTGTAGATAACGAGAGGACGGGTTTGGTTTCTTCACAGGGAAATAGGCCGGCGGTAGGTTACTATGTCAGGCCTAGGCAAGATGAACGTTCTGGAACTATTCTGTCTGCTGTCTGTTGATGGGGGTAGTGCACAAAGTGTTGGTTCCAGGCAGACTGGTGTTACTGGGTTCGAAACTTTGTTTGGACAAAGGGGTAACACTAGTTCGTTTAGTGGGTTTCGAGATGTCACTTTTTCGCCTGCACCATCTTCTTCACTGAGTCGTTTGAGTAGCAAGGTGTTGGAAACAGTTCCCGCAGTGTCTGATACTAGTTATGTAACCAGAGCTGGTCGGCACGTTTGTGCCAATCCAAGGTTTGTGGATTATGTATCATAGTTTCATCATCTCTTTTATGGCTAGTTAAGTAGATTTGTGCACTTGGACATATGAATCTGATATTCCATGAGAGTTTGTGGAGGGGGACGCCTTTCGTGTGGAAGAAGGGACGCCTTGTGAATGTGAAAGTGTGATTGTTATGTGAGAGGGAATGTCAACTCATGTGCCAAGTATGCTGATTAAATTTTGTTGGCCTGTGTTTGGTTTTACTCTGTATTTATAAGTTTGTATGCATTCTCGAGATTTGATATGTTGCTCCCGGTTTAATATGTTTTGCTAGAGTTCTGGTAAAGGAAACAATATAATTTAATACACATTCGGATAAATATGCTATATACAAGGGGGCTGCTTGGTCGCACACGGGATGTCCTGCGGATGAGGGTTAGTTCTAGGGCCGTGCTGGCCTGCGAGGATAGGGCTACCCTGCGGGTAGAGAGGTTTTGAGGAAAAGGTGCAGATTATTATTAGATTGAATGACAGGGGTACCCTGCGGGTATGGAATGTGAACTGGTGGCTGCGCCGGACCAGGTAGGTAAGGAATTTTTGGGGCCCCAAGCCATGTAATGCTGCTGCCTGAGGCATGCAATGGCTTGGGATGCCCAAACGAGGTTGTGTACGACCGAATGCCCCCAAAGATGAGTAAGATACATGATCACGAACCGGATAACTGCGAACTAATACGAATATGGCATGGAGTCTATGTAGATTAGAGTCCACATAACGACCGCTGTGCGTTAAGCAGAGTCTCTTCTGAAGTTCTAATATATCTCTGGAAACAGTCTGAATTCCAGCGGCCCATAGTCTTAATTAGGTGGTCCTCCACCCGGGCACTAGCTGCGGTGGTGGCAGCACCGATACGGAACAAGTGCCCACTATACTCGTTTGAGTTAAAACCGGCCCTAGTCAGCACTCTGCTGAGCCAGGACAGAAACGCTGCCCGTGTGATGGGCTGGTGTTGAGCGTCCACAAATAGTGCATCCTCACTAGAAGCTCGCTGAAGAGTTCTGGTATGGAAGAGCTTCCTCAAACTTGAGAACGGGCACAAGCGACTATTAGAAAACAATATTATGGGGATGCCTACTCGAAATGGATCCGTCTTGGAAGCTTTCAACAGGATAGTGCACTTCCTCTTAGCGAAGTCAAACTGGATGTCACTCAAACAAATGTTGGCGCTGGGATCAAACCTGGCAGTACACGTGATTTCTCCACATCTGAGAAACCCGAAGAAGGCAGTTAAGCACATGCATTCCATTACAAGGTCATTTAACGGTCCGAGTACTCCTGCACGCAGTATACACACGATTCGCGCCAACACTGTGTAGGTGATGGGAAGTCGTTTTCTTGGAGTAGGAGCTTGCAACTTCTTGTAACCTCTCATGATGGACTGCAGTCTGTTCGACGAAGCCCCGGATCCACGATGGTCGAATATCGTGGTAATGCCACGTTGCAGGTAAAAGAACCTCACCCCAGCTAGGTAGGTCTTAACAGTGACATGTTTCAAGTATATTGAAGATTGAAAGGCTGGAAAGCTAGACAGATAGACTTACTCCGGGTCACCAATTATGTAATTTAAATACTGTGCCCATCAAATTTTGCTGTTGTGAAGCATTTTTCTTAGTTTAACATAAACTCAGTGTTTTCTGGCTCATTTGTACTGCCTGTGGTGATTTGTCTATAAGACAGATAAGAATTTTGCTTGGTCCATCATTGGTGTATTAATACTTCCATTGGTTTATCAGATATTACACAAACTCCTCTTGGAACAATGTCTCCATATATTTCTGTGCATGGTTTGTAACCAGTCGTGACCGGACTTGAAAAACATGTATATCGTTCGATGTATAGTGACCTAGACTTGTAATAAACCAGTATGTGGAACAATTTTGTTGTTTGTCCCTTATTTTGAAGACTTAAGCATTAATCCCTCGCTCAGAGTGCCACACAAACTCGGAGAACCTGTTTTTGTTGTTAATTTTGATTTGTAAGCGTAACAAGAGTTTATGAAAACTCTTGAGGCAGAAATGATGCTATAATGAAGTAAATCGCTTACAATGTTTCCTGCAACAGTCTCGTGTGAAGTGGGGTGTTCCATTTATACACTCGAGGATGTAAGGTTTATGTGTGGAAAACAAATTTATTTTCAGTGGTATGTGTGTGTAAGAGAAAGAGGGGGGGGGGGGGGGGGAAAGTGTGTGAGAGAGAGAGAGAGAGAGAAAGAGAGAGAGAGTGTGTCTATACCGTACCATTATGAGGTAAAAATGAGAAGTTTTTATGTTAGGTAAAAATTTCTTTCAGTAAAACAAATGCCGCCATACATAGATGTTGATGCAAAATGGCTTGATTCCGGTTGATATCTATATGCTATTTGATCTAAAGACCAGATCT